CTTCCTTAGCACCTTATATGTGTCTTAGTGATAGAGCTTGCAATTCTGTTACAATTCTTTTTTTTAAAATTTTGTTTTGTTTTGTTTCCTTTTCTTTTTTAATATATTTTATTGATTTTTTACAGAGTGGAGGAGAGAGGGATAGAGAGCTAGAAACGTCGATGAGAGAGAAACATCGACCAGCTGCCTCTTGCACACCCCCTACTGGGGATGTGCCTGCAACCAATGTACATGCCCTTGACCGGAATCGAACCTGGGACCTTTCAGTCCGCAGACCGACACTCTACCGCTGAGCCAAACCAGTTTCGGCTCACAATTCTTTTTTTTCCCCCCTCTTACAATTATTTATTAATTGTGCCTCTTTGTTAAACTGTGCTCTTCAGGGGGCGAGGGATCAAGACTTGCTTGTACTTTTAGAGTGTTGGGGGAGAATCTGGAGGATGCTGGAAAGGTGCCGGCTAGAAGGTTTAGCATTGCAAAAAGCACTACTTCTTCCTCTGCGACGAAAGGGAAGGAACTGAAGATGAGTAATGGTGTAGCAAGAATCGTGAAAGCAGAAGGGAAGGGGCCACGTCTCCAGGGGAAATCTGAGGACAGGAAGAAGATGCCACCAGAAGAGAAGAGGAAGGAAAAGGAGAGGTGGTGCCGGTGCGGTCTGAGAGACTGTGTGCAGTCTCTGGATGGACTCAGGGCCCGGTTAGCGAGAAAGGGTGTTTGGGTCTGGGACAGGAGAACGGCCTGTCTTCCTTCACCTTGGGAGTTTTTCAGTCCAGCAGGGAGAAGCTGGGGCCCCCCGCTGCGGGGAGGGTGGAGGAGGAAGGTTGCGGTGCTGTGAATGAGGGGTGCAGAAGGGAGAGAGGTGGTGTGGACCAGGGAGAGCTATCTAGGAAGACACTGTGAGAAGGATGGCAGGGAATTTGGGCTGCAGAGCAATCCTCAGGAAGTACGACAGGAGGGGCAGAGCGAAAGCGGCTGGAGAGGAAGCACTGGCAGCTCGGCTGCACTGCCACCTGTTCCAGCTGGCACCCTGGAGGGCGGCGTTACAGTGGGTCCGGGACCCTCCGTCCCGCGGTGGCCTGTGGTGCAGGGGAGGCTTCAGGAAGACACAGCCCGTGGCACGCAGGCTTGTCGGATTGTTTTGTAATTTACAACGTAGCCTTTGCAAGCATTTTCAGGCGACCCTTCAAAAACAACAAGCCAGTGGCTCAGGCAGAGTACTTTGATGCAAACAACAAACAGAATTTGTAATTGAAAAAAAAGGGGGAGAATGTACCGAAATGATACAAACTATGGAGGGGAAGGCTGGAGGGTTGGATAGGGAAAACGGGTGATCGTCCAGATGGGCCAGGCAGCAGGCACCACAGCCAAGGTCATACGTCGGAAACAAGCGGACCTGGCCACCGTCCTTGGCAGGGACACGGCCTCCGAGGGGCCCACGGTACTTGAGCACTAACTGCCTCTGCTGCTCTGAGTGATTCTGAACTTGTCCGTCTGTCTTTGCAGTTCTCTGAAGATTCAAAGCTCAGAGGGAAACGGCCGGGTGGCCGAGCCTAGGTCAGATGTCACGTCCTGGCCGCTTCGGGACAGGGAGACCAGTATCTCCCTGCTTCAGCCTCTCTGCTCTCGGCGATAATGCAGAGAATGGGGCATTCTCCCAAACAGAAAGAAGGCTTAGGTGCTGATGGGAAACAAAACTAAACAAAATGCCGACCGTGTCCTCCTTTTTTAAGACTGACTTTCCTTTTTTTTTGCCAGTTGTCAACGAGGATCATAATCCCAGGCTCCTGGGCTTGACGTGTTAGAACCATCCCCGTCTCCCTCATTTCCACACAGAGCGAATAACTCTCCAGATTTAAAAAATATATATATATTTTATTGATTTTTTTACAGAGAGAAAGGGAGAGGGATAGAGAGCTAGAAACATCGATGAGAGACAAACATCAATCTGCTGCCTCCTGCACACTCTTCGCTGGGAATATGCCCACAACCAAGGTACATGCCCTTGGCGGGAATCGAACTTGGGACCTTTGAGTCCATGCTCCATCCACTGAGCCAAACCGGTTAGGGCTCTTCAGGTTTCTTACAGTGGCCTGTCCTCTTTCACTGCGCCTGCCTTCGTGAGACTCCTTTGGCAGCAGCCATGGAGGAGAGAAGGGACTGGAAATTGGGAGTCAGACTTCTAGAATGCTAGGACAGGAGGAGACCTTTGAATTGATCTGTTGGTGATCTCAGTAGGTCTGAGGTGGGGCTTGGGCGTATGTTAAGGTGACCAGGCATCCCGCTTTTGGCGGGACAGTCCCGATTTTTAACAATTTGTCCCGCGCCCCGCAGCATTTTAAAAAAGTCCAAAAAATTTAAAAGAATCTTTCCAAAAATCAGAACTTTTTAAAAATGCCTCGGGACACAGGACAAATTGTTAAAAATCGGGACTGTCCTGCCAAAAGCGGGAGCGACGTCTGGTCACCTTAGCTTATGTGTGAGTGTGTGTGTGTGTGTGTGTGTGCGCGCGCGTGCGTCTTTGCGAGGTGCACCTCAGGTTGAGAACTGCTGAATTCCAACAGCCTTGCTTTAGAGATGAGGAGACTGAGGCCAAGAGGTAAAAAAAAAAAAAAAAAAAAAAAAAGTTACCTGTTTGAAATTACACACAAGGAGGTCAGGAAAGGGGTGATGGAGCCAGGACCAACCCCAGATCTCCAGGCTTTTGAGAGAGCGCTGGCCAGACCTCTTGCTTTTTCCCCTCCGCAAAGTGGCACTTCCTGTCTTTATTTGTCTCCAAGAAAGCACGCCACACTTCTGGCTCAGCTCCTCCAACAGCAAACAGGCTTCGGGTGAAGAGCCCCCGGCAGTCAGGAGCGGACAGCCCGGCCCAAGGGCCCCGCTTATAATGGTAGCTGGCTTCATCTCCGGACCACAGGCCTCCCCTGTCAGAATCTGGGCAGAGTCCTCAAGAACCGCAAGTGGGGGGTGAAACGAGAAGGACCCCTGGACAAAGGACAGTGTAGCTGAGGCCATCCTTCTGCGCTTGGCAGGACTCTGACTGTCTGGGCCTCTGTAAACACAAGCCCTGCTTCAATTACTCATTGACCCTTCTTCAATTCTTGACTGTTCTGCAGCCATCTGGTTCTCATCTTGGGAATCCACTTCTTTCTTTCTTTTTTTTCCTGCTCTCCGCCTTGGATTGGTTTACCACCACCTCAGGCACTGTTTCCGGACAATCCCGTGGAAACCCGGGCCTCTGATGCCTTTCCTTGCAATTGTGTTGCTGCTTTGGACGTTGCTCTCCTTACAAAACTTGTGTTTTCTTATGAAGATTCCCAAAAAGGAAATGCCATTTTCTTAATGCCTTCCTGCTCCAAAACGACTTTAGTGCAAACAAACAAACAACGAAAAAAAAAATAAAAATGAAAAAACACATAAAAGGATGGAAGAATTGCTAGAGCAGAGGCATATCAGAGGGAGGCCATTCTTTCTCCCATACCCTCTGCATCCAGAATGGGGATTGGCGTCTGATTCTGAGCACCTCACCCAGGGCCTAGCCCAGCTGGGGATGATGTGGTCAGAGCTGTCTTTTAGAAAGCAACTCGGAGAGCTGAGGGAGATGGACTGGAGGAAGAGAGGCTGTGGGCAGGAAGACAATCTATCGAAAGAAATTCCTGCCATCGTCTTAGGTGAGAGATGACGAGACCCAGGTTGAGCAGTGGGGGAGGCATACAGGGAGGATAAGTGAGAAAATAGCCATGGTGGTGGGAGAATGACAGAACTAAGAAGCGGGCATGGGAGACGGTGGAGAAGTAAAGGTGACTAGGTTTGGAACTTGAGGAACTGGGAGGAGAGTCCCTTTCAGAGAATGAGGAAACGAAGAAGAGCTGTTTGGAAAGGAGGGTGGAGGGGAAAAACAACACAGCGACTTCAGCTTTGTAGTCAGAGATGCAGACGTCCAGGATAGCATCTCCACCAGGCAGCTGGACATGCAGGGCTGCTCTCTGGTCCAGACTGCAAGTAACAATTTGGGAATTTCAGCTGGAAGAACGTGTGCGCAGGAGGTGGTGGTGGTGGGGGCAGAGTGGAAAGAGGCTGAGGCCTGACCTAGAGGAATACCCACATGTAAGGCCCAAACGGGGTGTGTGTGTGTGTGAGACTCAAAGGAAGGAGTCTGAGAAAGAGCTGAGGGAATGAGAAAAACCGGGAGAGTGTTTTTCCAGCCAAAGGAGGGGAGCTCCCGGAAGGACCCGGAGAAGGATATGGAGACGAGGACTGATAAGAAGCTGTTACTTTTGGCCCTTAGTTTCTGGTCACAGCAGCCTCCTCTCGGCCACAAAGGCTATCCTCCCGTCAAAGGAAGTCCGGGGAGAGACGGGGTTCTGGGTAACTCACATACTCCCCACGCGCTTTAGCGTCAGTTAGGAGGGTCTTGCATGATAAATCGGTACACAATGACTTCATAAAGCTTACCATCACTCAGAATTCCCAACAAACCCGCTCAGTTCCCACCTTCCTTTGGTTGCATGAAAGGAAACTGCAAAGACTGCCGAAGGAGGAAGGAGGCTGAAGAACAGGCTATAGCAACTACAATAAACTAGAGGCCCGGTGCACACATTTGTGCACGAGTGGGGTCGGGCCAGGCTGGTGGGGGTGGGGGAGGAGCCGCCCTCTCCCCTGGTCAATCCCCCTCCCCCGCATTGAACTCCTGGTTGAGACGACAATTTGCATATTAGCCTTTTATGATATAGGGTTATCCTATAGGACATTCATGAGGTGGCACCTACCGCCAACCAAGTCCAGGAAGCGCCTTCTCCGGCCCCGACGCCCCGCCCCCTCATGAATATGCAGATGAGCCGCCTCCGCTCCCGCCCGCCCTCCCCGCCTCTCCCTCGCAGCCGCGGACGCGCCCTCACACGGGAAACAAGATGGCGGCGGCGGGTCCGAGCACCCGGGCCTCTTCCGCGGCGGCCGCGGCGGCGCTGAGTCGGCGGCGGAGCCGGCGGGGCCGCTGCGACGAGATGGCGGCGGCCAAGCCCGGGGCGCAGGGCCGGGCCTCGGGCCCCACGCTGCTGGTGCTGCCGCCGCCGACGCTGCTGCAGCCGCCCCCGCCCCCGCCGCCGCCGCCGGAGGAGCCGGGCTGCGCCGGCTGCCGGGAGCCCCCGCGGGAGGCGGCCGCCCTGCCCTGCGGCCACTCGCTGTGCAGAGGCTGCGCCCGCCGCGCCCGCGGCCCGGGCTGGGCCGGCCGTCGGAGCCGCGACGACGGCCAGGCCGGCGCCGAGGTGCGCGCCCGCCGCCCGCCGGAGCGCTGCCGCCCGCGCCGGGACGGGGCCGGGGGCGCGGCCGCCGCGGGGCCCAGGCCGGAGCCGGAGCCGCGCGCCGCGCCCGCGGAACCAGGTGGAGCCTCCCCCTCCCTCCTCTCCTCGGGGTCCGGGCGAGGCCGCGCCCCAGCCCGGCCCGGCCCGGCCCTGCCGGCGGGTGGAGGGTCCCAGGCCCCAGGGGCGCGGGGCGCGGAGGAGAGTTCTCCCGCGGTGGGAACGGGGCTTTGCCCCGAGTGCATGATCGGTGTCTGGATTGTGAACTTTGGGGGGGAAAGTAGGGGCGCGATGGACGTGGAGAGGCCCCTGCGCCCTCCGGGAGCCAGAAGTTTGGAGGGAGCCCTCGCCTCCGGGGAACTCGTGAGGGCCAGGCTGGAGCCGCTGCGGGAGGGGGCGCTGGGGGGCCGGGGGGCCCGGTTGGTGTTGGGGGAAGAGCGACGGGTCGACTGTCTGGAGTTAGGGATCAGTTGGATTGGAGGATGTGATGGGGGCAGCTTTTCAGCCTTGAGATCAGAAGTGAGTTAAGGGAATGAGCCTTGACGCGCAGTTTCCACAAAATCTTTAAAAAATGCATGTTTAGCACAGCCTGGCCCAGAGGGGGGAAGCAGGCAGTGACAGGGTTTTACCGGCAGTAACACTAATACTGAGCCCCGGTGGTACCCAAGGGAGAAAGAAAGAAGCCGGGTGGGGTGTAAAGGCTTGGGAAGCAGATGGGGTGGCGGGGGCTGCTTGGGTCTCCATGGCAGTGTAGGTTTCCTGCTGTCATCCAGGCCATTACAAAGTTTTCCTGAGGACTGTTGTCTTCCACTTTGCCCTTCTTACCCCTGCCGCCTGCCTGCCCTCTCTTGACAGAGCGCCCCGTTTAAAAACATAAAACAAAACGGTTGTAGCTCAGTTTAGGGCTCTGAGACACACCCAGTCGACACATCTGCTTTGATTAAAAAAAAAATATATATATATATGCTTACCTAGGAGATGTTTCAAGAGACATCGTCAGGAAAGGCTGAGATATGTGCGCCTTTTTTTTTTTTTTTTTTTTTTTTTTTTTTTTTTTTTTTCCGTTGGGAGTTCTGCCATGTGTTAATTTTAGGAGCGTCAGAGGTGGCATTGCTTGTGTAAGAAAGTGCGGTCCCCAGAAACTACAGCTCCCAGAATGCAGCTTGTTTTGATTCGAGCCGTCAGACACCTGCCACTCTTTTTATTTCTGCCTCTTGCCTTCCTGTGTTTCCTCTTAAACTTCACAACGTCCTTATGAGATAGATACTTTTATTTCCATTTGACAGATGAAATGGAGGCCCAGAGAGGTTAAGTAACTTGCCTAGGAATGAAAACCATATCCATCTGGTTTCCTGCTCAAATCAGGGGTAAAGGACTCCTCAAATGCCAAATAATTTGTGGACGCTGCGTGATGTCCTCATATGCTATTTAATTTGCTTCAAAGTCTGAGATTATGTCCAAATAATAAGACAGTATTTCTCTGGTTCCCTTATTAGTCCTCTTGACTATATGGTCGAATAGGAAAGAAATTTCTATTTTTATTTCTAACACCTGGACTCCCTTGTGAAATATCCAGTCTGAAATTTGAATCACGAGGAGGAATATGGCTTGATGATTTATGCAAACCGTTTCCCTTGAAGAAATTTATCAAAGTGTATCAGTGATTAAGGAGATTATATAAAACAAGATTCCAAATGAGGATATATTGAATCACTTAGTATCCATCGAGTATCCAATTACTTTATATGTTTATATGAGTACCACAATGAAAAATATTTTTCCCTTAAATTTTCTTGTTGTTGGGTCATTAAGTGCATATAATTACATATTTATTAAATTAATGCATTATAGAAAAAAATGCTGGAAGGAAATTACCTTCTAGCTTCAGCAGGTTGTCTGGACCTCTTTAGGTTATATATAATTTTTTTTAATTTAAAAATTTTAAAGGCAATGCATTCACATAATTCAAATAATGTAAGGATGTATACAATAAAAGGTTCCTCCTACCCCATCTTTATTTCCCACTTCCACCAAAGATTCTTGTTTATTCTTCTACAATTTCTTTGTTTATACATGAAAATTAAAATATATTGTATGTTTTTATCTTTTTACACAAAAGGTTATATAATATGCACACTGTTCTGTAACTTGCTTTTTTCATGTAACAATGATGGAAATTTTTTCATATTAGTACATAGACGATTTCTTCATTCTACTCACAGCTGCAAGGGATTTCATTGAATGGTTAAGTTTACTTAACTGTCTGTTGGTGGACATTGAAGTTGTTTCCAATTTTTTACCATTATAAATAATTGCTTATAAAATTTTTACATAGGTACATATGTGCATTTTATGAAGAGGTAGCTTTCTTTAGATTCTCAAGTGCTTGCAGAGAGAAGGTTAAAAGAATCATTGCTTTAACTCAGGTCCCTCATTCTACAGAACAGAGAAATGAAGCCCAAAAAAGAGATTGATCAGCTAAAGGCCATCGTGAGTTAGTAACAAATAAACAAGGGCTGAAAAGATAACCCACTAATAAAGGCTAAAATACAGTCTAATTCACAGTTAAGTGCTCGTAATGGCTTTTAATAGGAAAAGCTAAAAATACCAGTTTCATAAATATTTACATTGTAATTTTAGGAGTGGAAAACAAACAGAATTAGCAATTTCAGGTGTATTAAGAAGTATTGCTTTTAGTGTTCTTTTGGCACAGTTCAGTCAATTGATAGAAGAAAGTTAGGCCTGCTTTATATTACTGGAAATGAAATTTTGTAGTAAATACACAGGTGTTAAGTGAAATCCTTATAATTTAAAAATGTTGAAGCCTCATGGCTCTTTTGTATTTGTATCATCTATTAAAAAAAAAAAAAAGGAAAGGAAGAGTTTGATTGTTGAAAATTTTGGTTGTACAGGTGACATTTTGTTTTTCTGCCAGCTTCTTGGCAAGCTTTCAAGTTCAGAACCTTAATGATTCCCGTGTAAAAGTTTTTATTTTATTCTTATACATGTTGTCAGTTTGCTTTTGCATATAATATCAGTTGATTTGTACAGCACTATTGTGAAGACCAAGTCAGTGGTCATTTTAAGAGGAACACAGACTTCAACTTTGTTCTTTGAGCATCTGCAGCTCATTGTATTTATTGACATACAGAGCATTTGTACCATCTGGAGCAATATCCAGCAAGTATGTAATGAATGCCTGCTCTTTGCCAGGTACTGTTCTAGGTTTTTGGGAGACATTAAAGGTTGAAATATTCAAAGACCTCTCCCTTTTGGAGTTTATACTCTAAATTTAGAGACAGTCCTGATCCATTGATTTTAAAAAAAAGAAAATTTACCACACATGTACATAGGTAGGTTTGCAGCTATGTACAACAGTAACAGGCCCCATTGTTAATAATTAGTGAATATTAAGAATTCATTTAACCTTGTGATTTGAAATTAAGCATGCTCATTTTAAATTATACTGCCTTTGAACTTGAAACAAGACATTTTTAGGACAGTTCTTTTTCTTCTACCATGGGTAATCATTAAAGAGAAAAGTTAGGCAGAGGATGATGAATTTTTTTAATTGGCAGTTTAAAATTTGTAACTATTTGTAGTATTAAAAGTGCATTTCAAAAATGGAATAGATTTAAAAAATTGAATAGTACCTCATTCATCCCACCCCAAACTCCTTGTTCACTTCAGATTAGCATTTATACATTTAAGCATTTTTCTCTTTCTGTGAAAAACAAGTGGTTTTGGTTTCTTGCTCACGTGACAGACAATGTTTGCTATATGTGCAGCCTACATTGCATTTAGGACTAATGAATAATTAAGTCATGTGATTGTAGTGTAAAAGGACAGGAATTCCCCTGGCCTGTATGGATTTGTTTTAAAATGTATAAAAATGACTCAACTTCTTCTTCTTACTGACTCATATCCCAGACTTTGAGAGTGTCCTTATGTGTTATACTAATGCAGGAAATATTTGCCATGTACTTGTGTGCTTTGTAAAACTCAGGATGAGATCACCTCACCAACTAAGCATTAATCACCATAGAAGGGACAGTTCCATTCTGTAGAATTCAGGATTGAGCAGCAGGAAGTTAGGAGGTATTCATTTTTGTTCATTCAGATTTCTTGTCTAACTTCCAGTTAATCTTGGAGGAGTTGCCTGCCTTGAATTTGCTCATAACCTGAGTTTACTTGCATGTAAGATATGTGTGTCAAATTTCATTTCACTAATTCAGTGAGCATTTTGAATCTTACATTTATACTGTGTAAGATAGTACAATAAAAAGATGATGAATAAGATATGGTCCCTGTTCTTTAAGATTCCACAGTCTGGTTGGGAAAACACACCTGATCAAATAACAATACAAAGTGGTAAGTGAGGTAACTGCACGGTGCCAACAGTATAGCAGCAATTTTCAACTTTCTTCATCTCGTGGCACACACTAATTACTAAAATTCTGCAGCACACCAAAAAATATATTTTTTGCTAACCTGACAAAATAAATGGTTATAACTTTGATTCATTTATACTGGACAGCTTTGGTTGTGTTGGCTTTTTTTTTTTTTAACCATTTAAGGGAAAAGAGGTCAGTGCCCCTAACTAAATAGTCAGGTGTTGCATGTTTTAAAAATTCTTGTGGCACACCAGTTGAAAACTGCTAGAGTATATGAATGGGACAGTTGACAGTCGGGAGGAAACCCGATGAAGGCATTTGAGCCGAATGTTGACAAAGGAGTAAGAATTCACCGAGTTAGGGAGGAAGGGATGGCCAGCCCAGGCAGAAGAACCTGCATGTGCAGGCACAGGGCACTGGACATATTCAGAGACCGACAGGAAATTAAATATAGATGGAATGGGGAGGAAGAGAGATTTTTTCTTCTGCCATGAAGTTAGGCCATGAAGGGCATGGTATGGCATGCTAAAAGAGTTTGGGACTTTATCCTATAGGAAGTGTTGAGCTCTTAAAGGTTTTTAAGTAGCGAATTACATAATCATAAACGTGCTTGCTTGAGTAGCCCAGGCCAGAGATGGAGAGGGCTGGCCTGGAGTAAGGCAGTGGCTGTGGGCTGTGTCCTTCAGTC